AGAATATAACCATTCAAAGACTGCTTTCTGCAGTGCAGTGTCTACAGTAACTCACCAATCTACACTCCACACTCACCGAAAAGTTTTAGCGATGTCTCCTTCATTTTGATAACTTTGAGGTTATACGTAATGTTACCACAAATCCATTTTTCTATATGTCAATTGGTTATTTTTAATGTCTTTACCTTATCAAATTATAGGTGTCGCTTTTTAAGTATACCTCCATTTAATTATATTTCACCCAAACAGTGATAGAGAGTTGCATTAACATCTGACAATTAAGGCGTAAAGAATTCCAAAGTAAGGTTTATTTTTTATATAGATCACAATCGACACTAGGTATGTGTGTCTACTTAGGAAGCCCTATTGATACTGAACTTCTTAAGTACACCCAGTAAAATGTGAAATTTTCGTTTTTCTTTTCTTTTTTATTTGTTTATTTCTCTTGTTTTTTATTTATTCTTTTTCTAATTTTTATTTTTGTGCTGTTCTGTTTTGACATTTCCATGTTGTCATTTTACACACACATCAGGTCAAATTACTCATTGGTAGGTAATATCCGAAACAAAAATATATTTAAGTATACTGAAATTATGGAGCTAAATGAGGCGAAGCGTAAATTCATGCTTGTTTTTTTTTTTTCTTCTATGGTTTTTGTTGTTATATGCCCCATCTATCCTCCTTGTTCATTTACATTTTGGGTATATTTTGGTTATTGTAAAAAATTATTTGTTTTTTTTTTTTTTTTTTGAAAAAAAATTCGATAGACTTTTCTGTAATTTAGAGAATATTAAGGTTTTTATAGAATTTTATGTGCTTCTTTTGTTTTCATTTAATTTTCTTTCTCTTTTTTTTTGGTTATGTTTCGGATAGTTTAGCTTTTTTTCTTTCCCCTTTTACTTTTTTCATGCTCGTGTGAATTTCCAATATTTTTTATTTAGAACATTAGGGTTAAATATGCATATTAAATTTGTTAATTCTTATATTATGCTTTTATGATTTTTTTTTTTTGAAAAATAAAAATTAGTTTTCTTATCGGTTTTGTTTTTTTTGATTTTCTTTCTTTTTCCATTTGGAATTCTAATGGTAATTTGTTACTTCATTCGATTGGAAAATTTAATATATAGAAAGAGTAAGGGTGATGGTTATATTTTTATTCTTAATAACAATAAATTTAATTTCATTTAAAAAAGAAAATAGGATTTGTATAAGCTACAAGTATGTATTAAATATATTTGATGTTTTTAAAACCAAAGTACTGCATGCTTTTACATAATTATGGGGGTATTGTTAAGAAAATGAAATTCAAGATTGTAATTGAATTGTTATTGAATTGTTGTGACGGAAATGTTCTAAAAACTACTACTCATTTACAGAAAATAACTACCAAAAAGCAGATTCACTAATATACGCTAGTGAAATGACATCCTTAAGCTCTAGTATAAAAGAGATCACCTGAGAAATTGAAAATTACAAATTATCTATAAAACACAACGCAGATAAAAGGAATGTGTTTTTGCTTTAGTTCTATTACATGCAAAATTATTTTCGTATGAATTTCTGTTCCTCAATATATATATAAATTTTAGAAGCTATCTTAATAATGGAGGGGAGTCCCTGCTTTTTATGACACCCAATATCTTAGGCTGCACTGCGCAACCATCACTGTCACCTATTCACTGACTGTTTTCCTAACCAGAATTAGCTTCAAATTCTGTGGGAGTGTAGCCCGTGGGGGAGCTTTGAATTTCGATTCCTGTAGGTATATCAAATAAATTCAAATTGAACTGCTGCAATAACAAACAAGCAACCGCGTTAGCTTTAATACAAAAATTAAATATTTATTTAATTGTTCTTCATAATTTTTCATTAAATTTCAGAAAATTTAAACAGATTAATGAACTTCATGCTAACATAAAAAAGTAAAAAAAAACTTCGCCGACTTTATATGTAAAGGAATAGCAGTAGAAGAATTTTCACCCAATACCTTTACTTTAATAACTACCAATCTTATAGACTCTAATTATAAAGTTTGATACTATAATACGGTAAGTTTATTAATACTAATGAAACCGATCTGATGACAATGGTAAAAATGATAGCAAAAGAAACAAAATAATTTTTTTTTTCCTATCCAAACCTAAAAACAATGCTTATAAAATAAATCGTCGATGATAGTTTTTACCACATTCAGAATAGAATTTCCAGAATTTTTACGCTCTTTCTATATGATAACTATGATTCATTCCTTTCTAATTTTTGTTAATTTTTCCTCTCTCTCTCTCTGAATTTCCTTTTTCAGATCGTATTCAGTGATAGTAAAAATTTTCTATTTTATTGTTATATTTTATAGGTTACTGATATTTTTTTTTTTTTTTTGGTTTTTGCGTCTATGCGTGTTTAAATACGGTGTGATGATGATTCTTTAATGATTCGTACATTTTAAGTTCAAACAGGGTGGAAACAATGAAATGAGCTATTTCACAATGAAAATTATAACATAAAATTTTATGGACGCACGAATTATTTTAGTTCTGTTCTTTAAGCATAGTTATATTTGAATCGATTGGGGGTGATGGATCTCTCTCATCCTATTGATAATATAATATTATTACATTTGTTAATAGCTCTTACCTAGTTTTAGGTGAAGAATATTCGGGCAACCCCTCCACACTGTATATTCCAGTTTTACTCTTTATTAATCAGAATTCTTAAATATTTATAGCTTTTAACTCTCAATAGTTGTTTGTTCCCGGAGAATACACCGGCGTCATGTGCCATTGATTTAAACAACATGTACTTTGTTTTATTGCAGCTGATCGGAATTATCCAACTCTTAAACGTTAGGTCAAAGTTTATGTCAATAAGTTAATATCACTTCAGACACAACACAATTCACATTCTGTATTCTGAGAATACATTTACACAATACGAGACTAACATAGATGTGAGTATTTAACTAAAAACTATAGCTTGTACTATAAATGATAATAGAAAAAACAAAAAATGCTAAATAACAATAAACAGTAGGTAAACTATGGGAGTAGAACAGAGAGTAATAAATTCGACTTTGTTAAAGATAATGAATGATTTAATTGGAGAATGACTTTTTAATTTTTTTTTTTTGCTATTCTATTTATTACTGATTTTTTAGCTTTAGTTTTGGGGGTCATTGTCTCATGTTATTATACTTAAAAGCAAATTTATTGTATTCTGTATTTTTTGTCTCTTTTCATTCTGTGTATGGTGTGCTCATTATAAAATGGTACTGTTTTTGTTTTTCAGACGACGATATTTAATGAAATCAGTTGGATTTTTAGGAGTTTTTTTTTTTTTTATATTTTAGTTTTGTTTTGATTTTACTCCAATAAAGACTTTTATAATAGCACTTAATAGAATTATATTTCTAAGACCTGATAACAATCTTCTCTATATAAATAAGCGTATACTAATGGTAGAGAAAGATGAAAGTCCTTTTCAATACTCATTTGTTTTTATCTTAATTTAATATGGTAGTTTTTTTTATAAGGAGTGAATGTAGGCAAAAAATTTGTGAAAGTTTATTTTAAATATTTTTTAATTAAAAAACTTGTCATGGTTATATGGTGTTTTTTAAAGAACTTCATGTGTCAGAGATGACATTTTATAGATTGCAGACAGCAGCGAAGTTGCATCACGGCCTAAATCATTTCTGATGATTCTGAGCAAATTTTCGAGGACAATATCCCACAATGGCATGCCCGTCAGCGAGAGTCCACCCAAGCTCTACCTTCTCTTATGGATCAACGTTCCCCCACTATTGAGAAGGTGCAATAATGTGTTCTACGTTTTCTAGCAGAACCTGCAAGAACGGTTAAACCCTAAACCCAGTTTGTTTAGGTATTTCTTAAGCTTACATTGTGTCCCATGGGAATTTTCACATGATTATTCGCCATCTTTATGATCACCTTAAAGCGCTAATAATTGTAGTTGCGCAAAAACCATTTTGCTTTTCGAAGCCTCACGGTTTTGTTTCGTTTAATCAGTGTATCTGCTTCCAGGCAAAAATCCAAAATAGTTATTTCAGCCTGACTGTCGAACATTATAGCTACATATATCGTACCCGCAGTAACTCATTCCTATCCAAATTAAATTCGGCGTATTTTTCTATAACGTGTTCCACCTAAAAGATACTTCCGTACATTCCCAAAGGTTCGAAGTATTTGATCTTTGATACACCAAAACACATGCGGGAAGACAAAATGACAATTTACTCGTAAATTAGTGAATTAAAAGTTTCATTGGTTTAATTAACAGGACAGGAAATAAAACTTGTTGATTTCTGATGACTTTCGCAAAAGTGAATTAATAAGAGCGAAATATCTTAGAATATTATTAAATTATTATTAGAATTTTCAACAATAATAATTTTAATCAAAAACTGCCGATCAAAAAGTAGCTTTCTATATAATCAATTAAATTTTCGAAATCTAAAAAGTTATCCTACAGTGACGGCAGCGAATTAATATTTGAAAATTTTGTTTTAATATCAGCAAAATCTCATTTGATTTAATTAATTTTTTCTTGGGAAATCATTTTGTTCCCTACCATTTTATTAGAAACATAGGACGTGTATGCCACATGCTATTGTAACAATTTTACGATTTACTTCATTAAAAAAAAAAGTAAGTAGTGTGAAAAATTTTTTACGTCAAACTTTTTTTATTACATTATTTTTCGCAAAATGTAAATAAAAATTTTTTAAGAAAATTTGATTACAAATAGTTTCTGTCAAAGAAATTGCATTATTTTTTCGTAATTAAGTTCACAATCATATAGTGAAACGTTTAATATAGAAACACGTAATGTGAACGTATGATATTTTTGTATATGTGTGTATATTGAAGTATAACAAAAAAAAATTTCAAATAAAAATTTTTTTCCTATACAAATATCAAAAGTATGTCTTCAAAAAAAATTACGTAAGGTTACAGTAAGCTCTTTAATATACGTACCTGAGCTTAGCTTACATGAATAAAGCATTTGCTATTTTACTCTTGCAAACAATTAAGGCTGAAGAATCTACAATCAAGGCGGAAGAAGCAGTAATTTAACTATTAGAGCTAAATAAACTGATCAATTTACGACTAGGACTGACAAACGACAGTACTGAGTGAGTATTCAAAGCGAAATTATTACATTCACTTCGTTGGTAATCTCGTCATTTGATACCCCATATGAATATCAGCGAATATCCGTCTTCTAAATAGTAGGAGAAGCGTAGTGAAAGGAATTTGTACGCATCGCAATTTCAGGGCCGATTATATTATATAGTAGAATTTAAGGTTAATAACGGGAGCTTTCATTATATATATCGGGTGTCAATAATAAAAAAAATGTTATCAGTAAAGAATGATGTGTGTGATTTGTCTCTGGAGTTAAACGAAACCATGAATGCGAATACAAAACAAATTGTCTGTTACTTGGTCTCAAATTTCAGTTTAAATTTTCGAGAGTTTACTGCGTTTCTACAATTGCTAACATTCTCTTTCACGTTTATTTACTCTTATGCATGTTTTTCAAATCATTTTAAAAATTTAATTTTTCCATATAAAGAAAATTTTCTCAAACGAAGCACAAAAACAAAAATGAAATAAATTTAATTTTTGCCTTCATGCTATAATTAAGAACTAATGTGCAAAATAACTAAGTTAAAAAGTTATGTAAGTTAATAACTAATTAAATTATAAAAATATTATTTTTTTTTTTTCGATTAACATTTTTACAACACTCTATAAACTTATTATTAATCAATAAATTTTTAAACGAAGAAAAAATTTACGCTTTAATTTTATTTCTTTCAAAACGCTTCCAGTATGGAAGGGTTGATTCTCACAAATTATTTTACAAAAAAAAAAACCTACTTCAAATTACTTTTAAAGTTTCATACCAAAATCTAGAAGTTCTGTAGATTATTGATTTTAAAACAGTTTCCATATATTTCTCACAGAACTACATGAAGTCAGAATAGGTAACTTTGTAAAGTTAAGATGATTGAGTACTCATACGTTTCCTTACCTAGAAAGAAAAATAAAAAATATAAAAATTAAATTAATGTTCTTTGAAAGTTTTGTATGTGTATGTAGTTGATATTAGGGAATATATAAACAGAAGAAGTTTTGTGAAAAAAAGTTTTGTCATAAAAAATTTGATTCTGTGAAGAAAAATTATTTAATCATAAATAAGTTTTATGCTAGGAAATAAATTTCAAGTTAAATGATTATTAAAATATTTCTTTTGAGAAACACTATCTAAGAATGTATAAAAGTGAGGCATTTAATAGAAGTGAGGCATTCAAGAGAAGTATGGTAAACTAAAAGAGAGAGAGAGAGAGAGGTGAGTAAACGAATTCGAATATTTTCTTTTTTTTTCACGTTCAATCAGAAGTTATAGATTTCTATTGTTCCAAGGAACACATTCAATCCTCATTTGTATGAACATTATCTATGGCCTCTTATACTTCGGTATAGAGCTACCGAGATTTGATTAAATCTAAACGATTCGAGTAATTTACCATTCCCGTGTGGAAATGTGAACGCCGGGGAGTCGTGTGCATTCGTAATTCACTATCAAAAAATTCAAACCTGTCTGTGGTCACAATTAATTTTCTTTCATACGAACAGCCGTAAAGTTATAAATATGGCGGTTCCGGAATGAATTCGCCGTAGTATGATGGTTGGGTGTTTCGAAGTAGACGCCTAAACAATAAGAAGTGTCTGGCTGTATTAAAATATACCACTCTGCTTAATCTCTTTGAAAGATTCTAGGCTTCGATTCACATGAATACACAAAAACACAATAACAAACATATGACAAGGACCAAATTTACAGTAAGATTCTTTTACTTAAAAATAATTTCTGTTTTCCTCTTAATTTTTTATCTCATTCCATTGCTCTCTCACTCTGCTGTTGTCATCTCAAAAAAAAAAAATTATATTTTTTTTTTTTAATAAAAATCGTTTTTTTTTTTTTTCAATATTTTCAATTCAAATTCACTTACATGAAAATGTTTAGAAAAAAAAAAAAAAAAAAAAAAAAAACGAAAATTCTATTTCTTTCTTCACCACAGACTAAAATTTATTCAAGCATTTCCATTATCAGATTTGAAGTAAAATAAAATATTCATAAAATTTTAAAATAAAATGGTTTGGTTAGAGGGGATCTTAACACCATCATTACCAGAAAAAAAATTGATGTTCATTTGAAAATTGAAAAAAAATCGTTTTTTTTTTTTTTATATACTTTTTCAACTTCACCACAATATTGAGCTGTTCATGTCAGCATTATTCTATTTTTCAATGTCATTGATATTTTAATTCATATAAATTAAGCATAATCAGGAGCATGATTTTTCAATTTTTTATTACCTACATATATATTTATCCTTTTTTATTCCTTTCGTCAATAACAATCATAAACACACAACACACCAACAATATCACAATTTAACATTTTATAACAATCAAAATTTCAACCAAACCTAACTGAATCAGTAGAATGAAGTCTGTATAGGCTTCATTAAAAAAATTTTTGTGAAAATTATTTTGTATGTGTATACGGCCATATTTATTGTATATATATAAACACAAATAAGTACATACAAAAATTTTATACGATAGGCATTTTCCCGCACTTTTCTCTAAAACAGACTTTTATACTAGAATAATTCTATGCAAGCTTCACCTTACCATACTTCCTTTTATTCTTTAAAAAAAGAAATATATTTTTAAATTTCAATCGTTTTTTAATAAAAAAAAAAATATTCAAAAATAAAATAAAATTTTATTTTGAATTCACCACAAAGAAAATAGAGTGAGAGCAAGAGAAAGAAAAAATAACGAATGAACCGCCATATTATAGCATGTAAAAAGCATGCCATACCACACAAAAGCTTAAATTCATCAAAATAATATAAAAGAAATGTTTTTATTTTTTACATACATACACACTTATTATATTATTTGCTAGTATTTTTTTGTTTCTGTCTTCAATTTAACAAAAGCAAATATTTATAATCTAAAAATGTTGATTTTTTTTTCTTGTTTTTTTTTTTTTTCAAAATCCTCTGAAGAGAAGAAACAAAAATAAAAGTACAGAAATTGTTTAATTTATGTTCAAGGTTTTTCGAATCAATTCAGAGTTTGTGAAACTTTATTTTCAAAGTAAAATACAAAAAACACAATATGTACTTTTATAATTCATAAACGCATTCAATACAAACAAATAAACAAATAGTGCTGATATTTTCGGAAACGCCGTTTCAACTGCGTTTGGTTTCAAACCAAAACGAATGTAAGTAAAAGAAAGAGTAATTGTAAGTATTTTTAAAAATAACAATGCGACAAGAAAATATTCTAATTTTTGATACATGTGACTTGCAAACACTTCAGGAGAATGAAACGCCCCATTTATGATCTCTACAAGAGCTGTGGTGACGAGGGAGAGGCGCAGACGGTGGCTCATGTTCAGTTTTCGCACGGGAAAGGCAGATTTTCCTGGAGAGAATGTGAAGATCCGGTGGTATCAAATAGGCCTATCTGATCTAAGTGTATCTTTTGATAGCTGCCTCAATCTGATCGCGTTCCCTTTTATGTTTAATCGATGTAAATCCGAAACGCAAATTAAACGCCGTTAAAACAGCATTCGGTTGCCAGACACTGGCTCTTGTATCATCGAAGAAGTCTGTGAGTATCCTTGCCCCTACCTGATCTAGAAAAGTATCAGGCATCTGGGACGGTTTTACTTTAAGTATTTGGAAGGATTATGAAAAACGTCCGTGGACGAACTGTTAAGATTCATGAAGAATGCTGGGTGGTTTTACGTGGCTCAATGTGGCTCAATAATTTTATCTTTTTTCTTCACTGGCGCTTTTAAAAACAAGCGTGTTTGACTCCATTTTGTTCTTCTACATACTTAACTCCGTAAAAAAATTAATGACAAAGCAACAAAATTTTAACTAGATTATTAATTTATTTAAAGAGCTCTGCCTTAACATAAAGTATATAATGTCATCAATGCCACTCAAAAATATATTTTAAATCTCTACATATTTTTCAATACAATTTTAATTCTTTAAATAAGTCAGCAAAAAAAAAAAGACAAATTTGTTTTAAATTAAAAATGATTATTTCAAGGATTAAGAAATAAAACCAATCGGTTTAATTAAATTTTATTTCTTTTTTTGGATTTGCTTTATATTTTTTGGTTATTTTTTCTGTTAGGGTTCATTAAATATGAAAAAAATCTCTTGTGAAAATATAAAGACACTCATTTCTTCCACATAGTTAACTCATTTCACATTTAATGACTTCACTTACATAACAATTTATTATATATACTTTTAGAGAACCTTCATAACATTTCAGCCACCATTATTTTATTTCAGTTGCCGCAATATTTTTCCTCTTATATACTTTTTTATTTTTTTTTTCTTCTTCGTAAATTTTATCACAATTTAACAAAATGACAAGACTGATCTTTTCATCACATTTTCTAAGATATCCTTTTTTTTATGTATAGATAATTCGTCCCACGCATACACCACTAGTATAAAAACAGAGAAGAAATACCAAAAAAAATTGTTAACCTTTTCAACAGCAGGAGAAAATTTTTCTTATAAAAATATTTTACCGATTTTATTCTTTATTCTCTCAATAGGATGTCGGATCCTATAATGAAACAAATAATGAAATATACTTACATAGAGAGAGAGAAACGGGAAAAAATGAAATCTAGGATAAAATATTTTCACTCTGGGAAATCAAAAATTAAATATTTTACATGTTATGTGAAAAAGGGAAAAAGGAGTGACACCTAACTGCCCAAAACTTTAACAAATATAAAAGCTAACAAAATCGTATCTTTTGTATCTTTCACTTAACTCTTGTAAAGTATATACAACAATTCCGCAATAAAAATAAAAATAAAAGAAGAGAAATGATATGAAAAAAAAGGATTCTAATTTTTCTCGTATCCAATCTCAACATTTGAATGAAAAAATCCTTAAAACATCAAAAGGTCAAATTGAATATAGAATTGAATCCTTTCATATGCATCACTAGGTTCAATCTTTCAACACATCTAAACACGGAATATTTCAAAGAGATTCGGGTGGGGGGCAGGCGAAAATAGGTGGAACTTATTTATTTACTTCATTTTTTTTTCTTTATCGTGTTTTCAGCAATTTTTTTTGCTTTTATTATCAGATTTAGTGTTTTTTTTCTGTTAAAGAAAATAATCTTTGAAAATTCACCGATCATATACATTTTTCTTTCCTTTAGTTTAGCACACATTTACGAGTTAGTAGAATTACTTACATCAAAAGAAAATAATTTTCTTTTATATTAAAAATACATTCCATATGGTTTATGTATAAATTATGAGGCAAAAACAATTTTGTATATAAAAGTAATAAGGTAGTAGGCTTGTCATTCATATGAAACAGTGAGAAAAATCAAATCACAAGTCAGCAGACGCACCCTTTGTGAAATCGGAGACTGTTGATTTGAACTAGATTTCGAAAGATTGGAAAATAACTCAAAATAAAATCAAAATTATGGAATGTTAAGAAAAGGAGTCTATTTTTTGATTATGATCGGAGTCAAGAATACTGACGACCCTTTTAACATGACATCTGAAAATCTTTAGTTTAGATGGCAGGGAAATGCAAATGGTAACTCACACTCGAATAGCGTTAACCTAGAAGAAAAGTGAGTGTATGGAAAATTACGTCCCCACAATAGAAGACCTAGTTTAATAATCGACCTTAACAAGATACTCAATATGCTAGACTAGTCACGGTTGCCGAAATTGTATCGAAGCGAGGCATGGGTGATGTTTTGTAAATAGCAGGGTTGTAGTTTGAGCACTTAGATGTTTTTGCGAGTTTTCATGGTTGTCTCTGTCGAGCGCTAATGAGTTTTCTGGCTGAAGATTCGAGACGGCAGCTGAAGTTACGGAAATTTATTGCTCGGTACTTCCGCCTTTAGGGGTATTTAGGAGCATTATAGACAAGGAAA